CCAGAGAGAGTGGACAGCCCAGAGAGAGTGGACAGCCCAGAGAGAGTGGACAGCCCAGAAATGTATGCCAGGGGAAAAAATTCCGAACTGAGGGATGACATTGAACTAACTAAAATGAATATTGTTATGTTGTTTAGAGAGAGTTTTACAGCGCTCGCAACTGCATAAGGTCATATTGTGAGCACGTGAAACGCGAGTTGGTTACATTGACTACATTCAGTAAGCCTAACTGTGGTTACTATTTTGTACCCAGTGACCTATGCCTCTTACCTATCTCCAGGCCTCCTTCCGCCTCTCTCTCTCTCTCTCTCTCTCTCTCTTTCTCTCTCTCTCTCTCTCTCTCTCTCTCACACACACACACACACACACACACACACACACACACACACACACACACATACACACATTATGTTGTTATGATACTGGAACAAAACACCTGTACATAATATTGCAGTGTATTGAACATAGTGCAGGCGTCATAAATGACGTTGTCTTAAAGAGTGTTATGAATTGTAACAAAACCACTTGGAGTGTTTATGTATCCCTGCATGTTCATATGTGAGACAGATTGGTGGAATCAGGCTCTCGTCAATTTTTGGGCAGATAGAGTTTTTGGTATCATCTTAAAGCTTGTTCAATTGTCTTTATCTTGGTGAAAAAAATATCCATTTATCTTGAATACAAGTCGAGATATCTGAGAAAGAAGGAGGTGGAGGTCACCTGTTTTCAGATGTAAAATTAGTGAGAAAATGGCTTCCAAAGATTAGTTATTTCCTTAGCTTAAGAGTCCGTGGTAACTAAAAATTTACATTTTTTGTGCCTTTAATCAACGTTTTTCAGAAAAATCCACACAAAATTGAGTTTGTTAATGGGCATGAAAGGCGTTGAGCCCAAAAAAAAAATTTGATAAAAATTCATAAACCTACGGAAAAATGCAAGTTTCTTCACTTTGAGTATTTTGACGAGAGCCTGATTCCACCACGCTGCCTCACATATTGTTTTGTGGATGGTTGGCGTTCTTTCTGGTGTAATCTGCTCCTTCAATCCTATCTAACGTCTATACTCACTTTCTCTCCTCCTTCTTTCATTTTGTCTTTCTCTCCAACAATTCCTCTAGTCTTCGGTACTAATGTTTCTAATCTAATTGTGTTGCAAGTGCCATATAACGCTTCACTCTGTGAACCTTCTGTTCCGAAATAATATCACTATGAACACAACGCGGCAAATACTCTGGGGTACCGAAGTATCAGTGTGACCCGCTCACACAAATATGACGTGTGTTTACAGAAGTAGAACGCATACGGAATATCAGCATCATTATACACCAGCATAGCGATATTACAACAACAAACAAGAGATAATAGATAGATAAGAACCACACTAAAATGAGCTAGAGAAAAGTGGTATACTTAATGTAAATCAAGGCAATGTACTCTGTAGACCCATACATTAAAGCTCAGGGGCCCAATTTTCAAATGATTAATAACAATGAAACCTCATCCTCCCTTGCCAACAACCCCCCCCCCCCCCTCAAAAAAAATATCACGAAAAACTACCGAAAAACAAAAACAAAAAGAAGAAAAAAAGAAAAACCCAAGAACCCCACTCAAAAGCCTCGTGCGATGACATTGTGTATAGATTTTTTAATTTTAAAAATTTTAAAATATTTAAAATATTATAGAAGATTTTCAGTCCACACAGTTGTATAATCTGTTGTCCCAGGTCGCCAGGAGCTGTCCTTTGGCCCCCGCCGTGATGTGGGGGATGAGATGGCTCTTATACATGAGGATGACGTGGAGAACCACGACATGAGCACGCCCAGGTGATCTGATTGGTCTATTCTGTCGATACAGCCATATGATTGGTCTATTCTGTCGATACAGCCATACGATTGGTCTATTCTGTCGATATAGCAATATGATTGGTCTATTCTGTAGATATAGCAATGTGATTGGTCTATTCTGTCGATATTGCAATATGATTGGTCTATTCTGTAGATATAGCAATGTGATTGGTCTATTCTGTCGATATTGCAATATGATTGGTCTATTCTGTCGATGCAGCAATATGACTGGCTTATTCTGTCGATATAGGAATATGATTGGTCTATTCTGTTGATAATAATAATACTGTCTTTTGTGGTCTGATTGGTATATTCTTTCTGAAAATATGTGTTTTTGTGATATCATCGGTTTGTTCTAAATATATGGCATATTAATGAATTTGGTGATCTGATTGGTTTATTATTCTGCCCCGGTGATAAAATTGGTTTATTCTGTCCTTGTGATATGATTGATTCCTTTTGTCTTTATGATGATTGGACAGGGTTCTTTTTCTGTCGATATAATATCAGTGAGACTTTGATCTGATTGATTTATTTTGTCGATATTTTAATGAGTTTGGTGATTTGATTGTCTTATTCTGTCAATACGTAAATGGGTTTGGTGGTGATAAGGTTGGCGTTTAGGCCCAGGCAGGCAGGGTCGACACACCTCGCCTCGATATTTATCTAAACTGTATCAATAGAAGCGTAAAAACATTGACAATCTAAAAAGAAATCTGTCTCTTCCTCCCCTTTACCCCCCCCTCCCCGCCCACACAGATATGTGGTGTCCAGCTGGAGCGAGTGCAGCGCCACCTGTGGTCAAGGCTTCCGCCAGAGGTACGTCAGATGTCAGGTCCACCTGGTGTATCTACAGGACATGGTGGATCTCGCCGACTCGGAGTGTTCTGGTGAGTGACTATGTAATTATAATTTTATATATATATATATATATATATATATATATATATATATATGATAATGGGTGGCCGTCTTACATAAGTGTGACTGTATTTGGTGTCATATTGACACTGTATAGTTTAGCCGCCTATCTGAGATCTCTTTGATAATTATGATGGCCATACTAGAGAATCGTGACTAGGCCATCTGTTTAAGACGGCCCCTTTTCTCCTTGATAATGGGTAGCCGTCCTTGGTAATTGTGACTGTATTTTGTGTCGTAACAATACTGTGTAAAACGGTCATCTGTCGAAGACGGCCCCTTTTCTCCTCTATAATGGTTGGCCGTCTTTAGACAATGTGAACCCCCGGGGGTGGTGCTACTGACTGAAGTGTCTTTAGGTCGTTCCCAAAAGGGGGAGGGACATTAACCTGTTCTTATGCTAAGTAGAATTGTAAATGGGCTGATTCATCAATGTCATGCTCATAACTGTGCCTGAACTGCAGAAAGGAACTGCTGCTTTATCTTTCCTCATCTTTACTATCGTCATTTTACCTCTACTTCTTTTGTATGTTTGTCACACTCTTGTGACCGTCTATTTCTGGAGTGCCTTGATAGTCGAAGCAGACTTTATGCTGTTGAAGCTAGAGAGGTAAGCAGAATAAGTCTGATTCCCTGTAAGGACTTCTCTGTTGACATCCACCCTATGGCGCTCATATGACCTTATGCAGTTGTGAGGCGAGCGCTGTAAGACCTTACTAAAAACCAACTATAAAAAACAATGTGAACTGTATTTTGTGTTACATTGAAAAGACCGGAAACCCCCGGCCAACGAGGTGTGCAGTCTGGAGCCTTGCTACGACAACTTCCAGTGGGTGGCTCAGGGCATGACGCCGTGCAGTAGGAGCTGTCTTGGGGGGACTCAGGTAGGTTTCTACAACAGTTGTTTCTTGCCTTGAGGTGAGGTGAGATGAGGTGAGGTGAGATTAGATGGAGTGAGGTGAGATGAGGTGAGATGAGTGAAGGGGAAGTGAGATGAGGTGAGATGAGATAAGGTGAGGTGAGATGAGATAAGGTGAGGTGAGATGAGATGAGATAAGATGAAGTGAGGTGAGATGAGATGAGTTGAGATGAGGTGAGGTGAGATTAGATGGGGCGAGGCTAGGTGAGGTGAGATGAAATGAGGTGAGGTGAGATGCGATGAAATGAGGTGAGGTGAGTTGAGATGAGGTGGGGTGAGATGACGAGATGAAATGAGTTGAGATGAGATACTATAAGATACGATGAGATTAGATAATTTAATAGAAGATGAGATACGACACGATAAGATAGAATGTTTGCGATTTATTTGAGAGCCCATGGTGTACACACTTTACAGTGATTTTTTTTGTGTTGTTGTTGAGAGTAAAGAACAGCAGCAATGACAAAGCACAATCTACGACTGTATTATTCAAGTCTTTGATTCCAAAATAGGATTGTGGATAACCAAAAGAGGTTAGAACTGTTTATAGTTCTATCTTTATATTTAGAACATTACTATGTATAACCTCTTTGGGATAGCCCAAACTTAAACATCCCAAGAATAAAACCAAAAATAAAACCATCAGCCCCCCCTTTTTTTTTTTTGAAAATAGATATTCTCCATACTTTATGTATGCCTATTAAATAAGCCGAATTTCACTGAGGGCATCCATAAAAGCAGTGGATTTTGAACGCTCAATCGAAATTCGTAATTAATTTGTGGCATGACGTGGTAGAATCAGGCTCTCGTCAAAATAATCAAAGTGGAGAAAATTGCATTTTTTTGTAGGTTTATGAATTTTTATCAAACTTTTGTTTTTTGGCTCAACACCTTTCATGCCCATTAAAGAACCCATTTCTGTGTGGATTTTTCTTTAAAACGTTGATTAAAGGTACAATAAATGTAAATTTTCAGTTGCCGTGGACTCTTAAGTTAAGGAAATAACTAATCTTTGGCGGCAATTTTTTCACTAATTTTCCCTCTGAAAACAGGTGACCCCCACCTCCTTCATTCGCAAATATCTCGACTTGTATTCAAGATAAATGGATATTTTGTTTCATCCAAATAAAGACATGTGAACAAGCTTTAAGATGATACCAATAACTCTACATGCCCAAAAACTGACGAGAGCCTGATTCCACCACGCTGCCTCACATTTATTGATTTAGCTATTTTTGCGTGTTTGTTTTGTTGTTGTACAGGAAACACAGCTAGAATGTACTCATAAGACGACGGGGAAGGCGGTGCCAGAGGACCATTGTCTGCACGCCGAGAAGATTCGGGTGGACCGCAGGATCTGTAATGATTTCCCTTGTCCTCAGAGGTGAGTGGAGTCTCTTTGTCGTGTACAGAGACTGTTCGTTTGTTCGTTTGTTTGTTTTAGAGAGAGAGAGAGAGAGAGAGAGAGAGAGAGAGAGAGAGAGTGTGTGTGTGTGTGTGTTTGAGAGAGAGAGAGAGAGTGTGTGTGTGTGAGAGAGAGAGAGAGAAAGAGAGGTGGGAGGTGAGAAATGTAGAATGAATAAAAGAAAAAAATGAAAGAAAGAAAGAGGAAAAATAAAAAGATGGAGAGAGAACAATAGAGGGAGAAAGAGGAAGAGAATGAGAGAGAGAGAGAATGAGAGAGAGAGAGAGAGAGAGAGTGAGAGAGAGAGAGTGAGAGAGAGAGAGTGAGAGTGAGAGAGAGAGAGTTTGTGTGTGTGTGTGTGTGAAAGAGAGAGAGAGAGAAATGAAGAATGAATAAAAGAAAAAAATTAAAGAAAGAGGAAGAACAAAAAGATGGAGAGAGGCAGATGGAGAGAGAACAATAGAGGGAGAAAGAGGAAGAGAGAGAGAGAGATTGAGAGAGAGAGAGAGAGAGAGAGATGGAGAGGGGGGGTGAGGGGGCAGATAGACAAGACAGACAGACAATAAGAGCGCACTCGCTCCCAGAAAATCCTTGAATATGTACATATTATGTATTCTAAAAGTAACGTCTCTAACACAATGTCTGTCTGGCAGATGGCGCATCGGAGATTTCGGGAAATGTTCCACAACATGAGATGAAAGAGAGAGAGAGAGAGAGAGAGAGAGAGAGAGAGAGAGAAAGAG